ATAGAACAGTTGTGTGTTGCTTGTAGGCTAGACTTGACATATGGGAGAAGCAAAGAGCAGCATACCTCGAAGGGTCCACCTCAACTTGGCTCGAAGGGAGACCTATCAGGCATCGACTACTATGGGACGCGTGGCCGCCTCGTGCAAGAGTTCGAGGGTCGCCCATACCCACTTCCAGTGGGGTTTCACGCCTATGCAGTCTAATTGTCAGATATTCCGCATGCAATGTCGACGCACGATAGGATGAGTCTGGAGGATGCTAGAGGCGATGCCAGTGACTTTCGGGCTGCAATATCAGGATCGTCCGCCAATTCGAGCTGAGCCTTTCGGATGGCGAATGGTTCAAGCGCCCATACCGTATATCTTTTGCAACGTGGCAACCTCTAGCCACTTCTTCGCGGCAATAGCCTCAAGGGTCAACACATTTCAAGCGGCACAAAGTCCTCTTCTTGTCAGTTAGCTTCATTGCCTGAGAGAGAAAATTTTTTCAACATGGGTGATGGACTACTATGTACGTTCTATTCACATCTTCTCCATCTTCTCCATCGCGTCCATACTAGACTCGGATGTCCGGTAGCTGTGTGCCGGGGACATCATGCTGAGACCGTCCGAGGCGCACTCAAGTCTCAATCTCGATGAACCTTGACTTACGTGGTTTGCCAGGCATGGCTCCGCCGTCGGCGTTACCGAGACCTCATCACGACATATGGGTTCTGATAATCGACTTCCCATGCGCAGGCTTGAACAACCTTGCGACGCGGCGCTCGTGTCCTCTGGTCTGCAAGGCCTGGCTTCCCACGGCCCGCTCTCAGCTCTACAACACGGTCAGGATACACACACCGAATCAGTGCTTACGACTTGCTCGTACACTCACGGAGTCTTCAGAGAGGGGGCATCTCATCCGCGGCCTGTACTTCTGGTTTCCCGACTGCTACGGTTGGCCATCATATACGACATCAACCATCCCATTCGGCACATACGCCATCGTCCAACTAACAAGACTAAGCCACCTTCATTTTTAGCATGACTCCAATACAACGATTCCGCGATCACACATGGCGTTCTTCCAGCTGTTCGCGGGCTGTCGTACGTTGGAGGGGCTCTTTCTCACCAACGCACGGACACAACAGTTCGCAGACTTGCTGCAGTCATCTGGTCTTATCCCGACATCGAGACGCTCAACCTCTCATCTTGCTTATGGGAGTCCAGCGATCAAGAGGTGAATTCCTTAGAATACCCAGGTCACTGCCGCAAATTGCGTTCCTTAACGGTTAGCATTCTGCACCTTCCATCCGAGTTTCCCATTCAACCACCAGCTCATCTCTGCTCGCTGATGATTCTACGCTGATAGATATCCGATGTGGCAAAATGGGATGTACTACTACCCCCATTGGGCTACACACTCAGACACATCGAACTGGTCATCGACGAGAGCACTGACCCCAGGCTATACAACTTTCCCAGTGCGTATATATATCGAACGAAGAGCGTATAGTCTGCTGACATATGGCTGACTCTCCTCTTCTCAGTGTTCTCTCCTTACCTCGGCCTGGAAACCCTGAGCCTCACCCTTTTCGGCCAGGATATCTCGTACACAATTGAGGCTCTACGGCACGTTCGCTCACAGGAACTTCGGCAGATCGCTATTACGCATTTGTGCTTTGATCAATCTGGAGAAGACACAGTGTCCCAGTGGAGTAAACTTTCCCTCGACGGCTCTCTCGCTACACAGGCCTACCGTGGGCTTGAGATGTTGCATATCACTCTCTGCGCGGCTGAACCATATGTCGAAAATGTGGATGGTAGATGGGACAAGTCATGCAATTCATTCCTGCCAAAATGCTATAAACGTGGCATTGTTGAGCTTTCTCTAGAAGACGGTAAGTGAAGTTGCTCAAATTCGATACGATTGCTGACAATGTCACTAGTGGATGACCCGGAGTGAATTGACATGGAAGGAGCCGTCGCTCGCATTACTGACTCGCGTTCAGGACATTTGTAAGTCTAACTTCAGCTACATGACTTCCGCACTCGTGATTGGGCACTCCATATTTGCATCTGTGTCTTGCCATCATGGTTATCTAACGACCTCCTGAATTGCTGTAGTTGCTCAGAGTCGTCGTCCCGGATGATGACCTTGAACCAGTCCATACCTATTCGCCGGGCGACGCGCCAAGATCCACCTGACATGTAACATCGAAGGTGTTCAGGTTCACATCCGGTAGTGGCTTGAGAGCTTCCTCAATAAATATGGCTTTGGGGTTGAAGACGGCGCATTTGCTTCTCGATCTGTCATAGCCTTCAGAATCGGGCGGTATCCTCGCTATGAAGTCCAGTCAGCATATACAGTCATACACGGGTCCTCGGGACAATGAAATGTTGTCGCTAATCCTGAGCCGTCCCCTCCCCTTGCAGACCGAATTGATCGGAGAATACATTCACGTGGAGTACTCGATTCAGCATCATGAGCTGGCTCACCTTCGCTATGCATGTCTGTAGAGATCAGATCGGGATGGCGAAAGCTTGCGAAGACAATGTTGCGATCATAACATGTACAAATTGCGCATCCCACGCTAGCGACGCATTTGGCGCACACCGCTTGTCGATACATACACTCTACCACGGACTACATGCCTCTACACTGAACTGACGCAGCGATCGTGGCTCGCCTCTCCAGATTTCGCCTTCGCGTGGGATGGCAGACCACCTCACGCTCCCATATGACATCTACTGTCTCGTCCTTGACATGATAGCGACGGAGGAAACCCACCTACCCTTACTATACAGCACACTTCGCGCTTGTGCACTAACTTGCCCATCTTGGATCCCACGCGCCCACTTCCACCTCTACCGCAGAGTGGTGCTGCCGACTCGTAGAGCATTCCTGTGCTTTGCGCGTACCATCTCTCACTCGCCACATTTTGCTCCGCTAGTGGAGCAAATCGACGTCAAAGTCTCCCCCGCACACGACTGCGGCTGGCCGCACGATCACAGGCAAATCGACGTCTCGTTCCCGAGGCACGCATTAGACCAGCTGGTAAACCTAAAGTCTGCGCGCTTCACGAGTTCCTTCCAGTTTGCCCAAGTACCGGAGTCGCTGGTTGCGTTCGTGAGGGCGTTCGCACCATGCGGTGGGTTGCGGAAGCTTTCTTTCCATCGCTTCTTTTTCCCTGAGTTCCGGGAGCTCGTCATCACCTTGTGGTCATTCCCTCGGGTGACCTCGCTGTCTGTCGTCGAGTGCGGTTGGTGCACTCCTCGGAGTATACTTGAGCTTCCCGATGCCAACACGTTCCCAGCTCGGTGCCATAGCCTCAATATCTTACTAGTGAGAATTTATGCGGCGTCTCACCAGTGTGTTCACCAACCTAAGAAGCCATAGATTTCAAAATGTTGTTTCACAAACCCTATTTTGGACGTTGTCAAAACGTCTATTCACGACCTGAGTCTCTGGGCATCTGGAGACAGGGACCAATGCCAAGGTGAGAGCTCGACCTCCTGTCTTCACCGTGCACCGTCTATATATTGATGAGCAATTGTCAGCCATATCATCTTTCCCTGCGCTGAGAAGGCTCACCTTAGCCTTCTCCATGCTGCAGTGGGCAGTGGCCGTCCTGGCGCACGTACGGTCGGAGCACGTACGAGAGATCAAACTGAGGTTGAACGCGAACTGCTTTGCCGATGAAGAGTCTGTCGAGGATGCCGCCCAACTTGACGAGATTCTCTCGCGTGCGCCGTTCCTAGGCCTGCGTCGCCTGACCATCATCGCTCAGTGGCCTAATGCCAGGAAGGGACGGGAGTACTTGGGGAAACGCTGGACCCTGCAAGTCCATGGTTGTCTTCCCGAGTGCCATAAGCGCGGCGTCCTGCGTGTGCCCGTCCAGTAGGCAAGATGTGAAGTGTCCCCGTTCACCCCCATCACGGCTCACTAACAAAAATTTGTCTTATACACTAGATTCCCTCACGAGCGCATCTCGGTATTTCCAGAGAGGCATCTCATTTGCAAGAGCCGTATCTTGCGAACAGCGTTGTTAGACCGCGGTCATAAACGCCTCACAGTGCCTGGCCGCTGTCAGGAAGGTTACGAGATACGCCTGCCTCGAGTTTCCACATGGCAGGCCAGCAGGAGAACCCCGTTGCCACGCCGGATCCCCACTGCAGCCGATGCAGTCCTGCGCCCGCTGTCGCTGGGAAAAAATTGAAGCTGTAGGTTTATCGTGAGCTGTGTGATCATTGTGTATGTAATATAGCCTCGATGCAACACCATTACATCGAAACCTACTGGCGAGGCATTCATTCCAGCGCTTCTGATGGAGTCTACCCTTGCTCCGGATCGGACTGCATGGAAGGATTCGCAACGCCGAGGCGATTGATCATGCTGATAATCAGCGGACACTGAAGGAGCTTGGTTGTGTGAATTGAGTAGCAAAAGCATGCTAGGACAAACAGAAAACGTGAGAGAGCAGCTTCGACATTGTATGCTAAGAGAACATATCGGATATGGCAGGATCAAAGGGGGACGGATGCGAGAAAATACGGAAGTGCGCGTGTCAAATGCACAGTACAATTAGCTATAGGCTACAGGTCCGGAGAAACGCGAATGCAGTATGTACGTTGTTGCTAATGATCAAAGAAGTCCGACATGGAGCCCAACGATATGCTGCGCGTGGATGCGTCATAAATAGCAGAGATGTGGCCGCAGTCGCCCTCCCACTCCCAGACACCAGGAACGTGCACGTCCGCCGCCGCCCTAGTGAGGCTTCTGAGGTCTCGGCGCCCGAGCGAGCTGCCGCGATCGCACGCTGGGGTTGCCATAACCCAGGCATGCGGAGCCAGCCACGAATGGCGGCGGCTGAGGACGTAACGAGAACAATAGATATTCACGACCCCGATGCAAGGCGTATCGTTCCCGCAACTGCTGCTGCGGTCTTTCGAGATGGCTGGAAGCCGTATGAGGACGGGGAAAGCGCCGGCATCGACACATATGTGCCTAGCGTAAAGCGGCACAGCCCGTGCCAGGGACAACGCAGGGGACGGGGATTATGAGCGCGCTCGAAAAGCTCGGCTGTGGCTGACCGACCGCATTCGCCGTACGAGTATGGGATATGACCGTACGAGATTAGGTGTACCTGGCGTCGGTAAAGCAGATCTAGGGACATCTGAGGGGTGTGCCGGCGGCGCCGGCGCAGTGGACGGCAGAAACATGTGTGTGGGAGGGGATGTGAAGGGGTATGTGAATGCAAGCCGGCCAAGGCGGGCAAGGGGATATCGAAAAACGACATCCGAGAATGCGTCGAAGAGTCTCGTAAACCGGTGAAGACGGCAACCGTGCGTACGCTCCGGGAATTAGGTTAACCCATAGCGATAGCGGCGCTTCGTCGACCGCGAGATGCACATGCAGCGAATAGAGCGGTAGTCGCCTTCTCAAAAGAAGACAGGGCCGTTTGTCGAGGCAGCGGTACGAATGGCGGTCTGGGAGGTAGAGGAGCCAGAAGGCTTTGAGCTGGAGTTCGCAGATTGCGAGAAGGAGACAGGTGAGCAAGTGGAGGAGAGCATCGTGTTGAGCGTGGTGGCAATATGGGCTCGGATGTAGGCGATGCTTGTCAAGATGTGAGGGATGTTGCGACCAGGGTAGTGCAGCGAGTCGGTGTAGAAACCAGACTGGAAAGAATAGTGAGGACATAGGACGTACCGGGCAAACACTATATATACCGAACGCAAGAAGACACTGCACTGGACGATAATGATACGCTGTGCGTCTTGGGCAGTTACAATGACGTGGTCTGACTCGGCTACATTTCTGAGTCGCCTCTGTGTCTGCGTCCGGTACCTGAAAATCGGGAACGATATGACTTGTCGACAAGACGACAGGGCGTGCGGACTGTCATCCTACCCTCAATGCGATGAGCAGACGCCTTACGGCGCGATGCCAAATTGGGTAACATTCCACCTACTACCATGGTCAACGACAGAACCAGGATCACGTTTGAGCTCACTCAGCAAGCTTGACCAGCCCTTGAACCCTTCAGGGCTGCTTGGGCCCGCTTACAAGCTCAAATTGGCGTACTCGCAGCACTTGGCGACACTGTGCCATCAAGGATTTACATAACGTCCTGCGGGATGTGGCACCCGGGCCTTTGCGGTTGGTGTTCTGTATTTGCCGCGTACGTCGCTGAGAATTCGGCGATGCCGTAGATATCCGACTATTGAGATATCAGACGGATATCAGTGCGGAGAACAAAAGGAGACGGCCGCGGAAAAGAGGAGACATACCGCGCACAGCCGCATTAGACACCATAGAACGCACAAGTCCGCTGCGGTGAGCGCCGAGTCAGAAGCGCAAACGCATCCCAGCAGCCGCAATTTTGGAAGATATCTGTGACTCGAGTCATTCGCTCAGGCTTCCAGACCACAAAACGCTGACCTGTACTGGTCATGTCTCCTCGAGGCACATGCGGTGGACACGGTGGAAAGGGGCGGTGCTCGGATTTGTTGGCCGGAACAGGCCAGTGTTGTACTTTCACATCAGTGGAGAAACGCGGATGATACGTTTAAGCTACCGTGTTGCACAGCCTGCAGTGTCTGTGCGATGACCCCGTTATGATCGTGAATGAAGGGATGTTGTCGATGAGACGGAATCCTGAAATTGATAGGATGTGGATGACCGAACACTTGCTTAGCTGGTTCAACTCAATGACAGGCGCTTGGTGTTAAATTGAACCGATACGCTTAATGTGCGGATCGCTCCCGGCAGGCAAGTTGCCCCCCTTGCCTCGGTCGACATTCGCTCAATATCAGAGCGCATAATCAGCCGTCCCTGTCATCGAAACACCTCTGTCTTTGTTTTCGTTCTGTGCTTCCCTTGTTTTCCTACTGGAAGCCCTTGGCCGTGACGCCGCACCAGACGACGTTGATTACCAATGGATTTTGACTGCCGTCTACACAGCCAAACATGTTTCTACCGTTCTTCGCATGTAATATAACAAACGAAGATTGAACTTAAGGATGGAGCTCCTTTCACTCGTACCACCACCTACGGCAACTTTCCCACGATCGTCAGCCAATAGGAGCGGGCTACGTCGTGCGGTCAGTTATCCCTCTGGGCGACGGCCTATAGCGTACATGAAACAGCAGCAATACATACGGACAGTAGGATGCCCCAGGACGCTACCAGGCGAGGACCGGCAGCGTCGCCACAAACCGCCTCGCAGACAAGAAAGACATCGACAACTGTAGCGACAGGCGCACCGCCTACCAAGCAACTGCGGTCCACACCGGCTACAGCCACCTTTACGGCAGCGGTGGACAAGATTCAGACCATGGACGAAGCTCTCGCTGTCTTGCGGAAAAATCAGATGGTACCGGCGGCTGGAGAACCCACGGCGGAGGGCCTCATCACGGGCCTTCATCATATAGGAGTGGGACTCTCAGGGAAGATGGCATGGGCGTCGGAGTGTTGCATAGCATTAGCCGTCTATGCCAAGGCGGTCATAGAGAGCGCGGTAAGCAAATCATTGACGGAAGCTGTACTCACCCGCTTTGAGTCGCAGACGAAAGAACTCATCGGCACCCTGGAGGCGAGGGTGGCCGCCGCTGGCGACCATATCGCTGAACTCGCAAATGAGCTGGCAGGGGTTGCGGAATGCGCAAAGGAGAAGATTGAAGGGGCTGTAGAGAACATTCAGGAGGCAGGATGCGCAGGCCTCCCCCTCGGTGAGTCGTCACCTGTCTCTCTCCCTTTCTCCTATGCGGAGGCTGTAAGAGCAAGCCTCCCGGGTACCACACGAGCTGCGCAGTTGAGTGTCGTAGACCGGGAGAGCATCCGTGCACGACAGATCCTTATTGATGGCTTCCCTGGGAACCGCGACGGCACACTCTTGGAGACAGAGATTCTAGAGCAGGCTAATGATGCGCTCGATTACCTCTCGAGAGAAGAACTTGACGTTCCGGAAGGTCTCCGCTTTACTGCGGCGAAGGCCCTCCGGAACGGGGGAGTAGTTCTGGAGCTCGCCACACCAGACCTGGCGAAGTGGATAGTGCAGCACGCACACGATTATGAGTTTGTTTTGAGCCCAAGGGCAAAGATTCGCCCTCGCCAGTACAAGTTGGTTGCGGAGTTTACACCGGTT